GTGTCGCTCTCGGCTATTATTCTAGATATATTTAATTGACACGTATACTATTACTATCTCCCTGATAATGTCTACTACATCGTTAACACAGTTCATCGCGTGCATTTTGTATACCGATAGTTCATTGGCCAATCACGCTATTTTACCGACATTTCGCCTAATAGATTTGATGCAGCTATGGCGGGTGTGGCGCCAGGCAGGGTAAGCTTACTCTTCCGGACACCTGTTGCCACTGTTTGTCGTGTATTTTGTACACGAGGAGCAGTCCATTTGCTGATTACACTATTTTGCTTGAATACACTATTTTGCCTATAATGTTTTTTAGGACTTTGAATTCTGTCTTATGGTTTGGATTGTTCGTACTTGGTTTTATTTTATTTCTACCACTGGGTGGGTTGCTCTGCCGGTGGATATTTTATGTCCCCAAGGTAACCTGAAACCCAGTAGCTTTATAGTTCCATGTTAAGTACAAATAACCAAAATATACGGCTGGGAGGCAGTTTCAGGGTAAAAAACTGCCACGATACCCCCAAGGGCACGGGGAATATCGGTGATATATCCCAAGATACTAGTAATGGTATGGGAGATATTTTCGTTCAGGTGCCTGTAATGTTTTAAAGTCCTCGGATGCTTCATTAATCTCAACCCAACAGTGTTCTGTCAAACTATCTGATATTTTGCATTTTTCACCACATCAATCTAACTGTTATATTTCTAAATGTTTGTCTAATAATTGTAAAACCTGTCCTATTTTGAATAGCAATACCCATTTTACTAGTTTTTCAAATAATAAAACATATTTTACACGTGGGTTTGAGAAACTAAACTGTAAAACCTCCAATATTATCTACGGTATAGGATGTACACTCTGCGGACTGATTTATGTTGGCGAAACTAAAGGACCTTTACACTTACGCATTAATGGTCATCGTCACAACATTAATAAGGGTAGTAACCAGATTTAACCAACCGGACCACTCTATACTATCAATGAGAGTGTCCATATTAGAGAAATTTTACGATCATACTAACAGCCCTACTTTGAGTACTCCCTTTCGCAGAGACCGAGAGGAATATTGGATACGAACATTAGGTACTGCCACCCCTTATGGATGCAATGACAATGTAGCTAGTATTGGGAATTTATCAAGCCCTGCGTGTAGCGATGTTAATGTCATGATGTTATTCCCAAAGTTTCGTTGTCGAAAACGCAGTCATGGACATCGTCGCTACACACCACCTAAGCTCAGTACTATATCACTGGATGCCCTTTTGGAAATTATTCAAGAACCGTTAGGGCCACAACATATCCGTACTAAATTATATTCTATTCCACTTACTATTTTGAAATTACTTAAATCTGAATGTTTGGATTCAAATTGTACTGATCCTGCATCCACTGAATACAGGGTTGTATCCACTGTTCTTGACATTGCCCACTGTCGTTTGGACATTGCGACTGAGCCTGATGCGTCGCACACCACCAACAGTTCATTTCTAAAACTGAAATTTGCTAATAAAGGCATTGATGCTATCAGGTTAAGCCAAATATTACACCATAAGCAAGTCACAGCACACATCCCTCCTTACTTCAAAACTGTTACTGTTCCTAGGATTTCTTATACTTATACTAAACCCATTGCATCGAAAATATTTAATTACAGAAACGCATTATCTGACATCAATGCAAAAGACTTATATAATAACCCTCTACCATGTTCTTGCTCTACGTCGTCCTTCCTTTACCCACCAGCTGGACATGTGGTCACTGGTGATTTGAACATAGTCCAGAATAATAAGCTACGTGAAATTTTGTCCAAACGACCCAAATACCGGGAACCGCAACCATATTCATGGGATCAAAATTTCAAACTTATTATGGATGCCGTAGAGGACTACGCTAGATCATGGTCCAAGAGGGAAGATGTTATCTTGGATACTCTCTCTGATTGGACTAAGTCTATCAGTCGTTTACTTAAACGAAGAATATACATGCAACGTTTGTCAGTTGACACTAGGCCTAAGTCTATTTTCAATGATGTTAGCATTGTTGAAAATCTCAATGCCTTGCATGACAAGTATGTCATTGTTCCGGCTGACAAGGCGTCCAATAACATAGTGTTTATATGTAAACGACATTATTTTGACTGTCTGTTCAAAGAACTTAATTTCGAGAAACCAATTGACAGTGCTACATATTAATGATCTACTCTTAGTAAGGATGAAATTATATCCAATCACAAATCTGTACTCACTTCATTTGGTACTCCGTGTAGAGATACCTATATAGATTTGCCCTTGTTATATTGGATACCTAAACTACATAAAAATCCCTACAAGCAACGTTTTATAGCAGGTTCATCCCATTGTTCCACAAAACCACTTTCAAAAGTATTGACATCTATACTAACGGCTGTTAAAGAGGGTATTCAAAAATACTGTGACAAAATATATACTCTCGTAGTGGTATAAATCAAATGTGGATATTGAAAAATTCCAAAGAATTACTTGATGGTTTGCAATCTAGATCCCTTGCTTCAGTCTCATCTATTCAAACGTTTGACTTTTCTACTTTGTACACTAAAATTCCCCATAGTAAATTAAAAGCCCGGTTGAAAGACATTATTCACACTGTCTTTTCGTCTAAAACAGGTACTGCTAGATATCAATATTTAGTTGTAAATTACAATTCCACATATTTCGTTAAGAATCACAGTGATTCCAAAAACAAATTCACGGCCATCAAGATAATTCAGATGTTAGATTTTTTAATTGATAACATCTTTGTTGAATTTGGAGGGGAAATATATCAGCAAGTGGTTGGCATCCCCATGGGCACCAACTGTGCACCTTTGCTTGGTGATCTGTTTCTCTATTCGTACGAAGCCGATTACATACAGACGCTCGTAAAAAATGTAGAATTCATATATCCTGAAACTAAACAAAACTCAACGTCGGACTGAATGGATTCGGCTGAAATTTTTATTGCTGGTTAATGAGTAGGTGTACTATAACATTTTAAAAATTCAAGAGGGTGTTTTGTCTCGTTTTCGAATTAAAAATATTTGAACTTGTTCAACTCGAATAGAGGTCGAAAAGGATATTCAGCTTACCATCTCAACGCGGATAAATGTTCTACTTATGATTACCAACTGGAAAATGATACCAGCTTGGAGTACAAATAATGTAGATCCAATAACTAAATATGGTAACAGTGGTCATGTGACTTGAATATTGTCAAACAAGAAATATGAAAGACTTGGTCACATGACTTGAATACTGGATTCATGAAGGTGACATGGGTCTAAATATATGCTCCAACCAGCAATTCAACCAACAATTTATTTTGTTCCATTAAATACTAACCAGAGATGGATAGAGAACAAGCTAAACAAAAAGCAATTTTTCGAACAATCAAGGGCCATAATTCAGGAAGTTACAATCTGATATGCGCGAATATCAACAGGAACCAAGATCTTTGGGTTATAAAGATATATTTCAAATTTGATCAAAATTTGATCAAAATTGTGACTTCTAGAGGGTACACAACATTGATATACCATATATTTACACTATTTGCGTACGAGAGGTGGCCATTTTGTCCGGCAATTTTGGTCCGATTTTCACGAAATTCAAACTCACATTAGGGTGTAACAGTGATATACTAAAACTTTTTTTTTAATCAGATAAAAATTGTGACCTCTAGAGGGACCACAAGCTAAAAACACGATTTTACGTACAATCAAGAGCCATAATTAAGGAAGTTACGATCCAATATGCGCAAATATCGAAAGCAACCAAGATCTTCGGGTTATAAACATGCGTTTCAAGTTATATCAAAATCGGATCAAAATTGTGACCTCTAGGGGGTCCACAATCTTGATATATCAGATGTTTACACTATTTGCGTAGAGGGGCGGCCATTTTGTCTGGCAGTTTTCGTTCGATTTTCACAAAATCCGAACTGAACCATCATTAGAGTATAACAATGATATACAAAAACATTTTTATTTTAAATCGGAAAAAAATTGTGACCTCTATTGGGTCCACAAGCTAAAAACGTGATTTTTCGTACAAAGAGGGGCCATAATCCATGAAGTTTTGATACGATACATGCCAATATCCACAGCAGCTGAGATCTTTTGGAGATAAACCTATATTTCAAGTTTCGCCAAAATCGGATAAGAATTGTGACTTGTAGAGTGTCCACAAACAAATTGTGGACGGACAGGGGCGACGACAATATACGTCCACATGAAAATGTGGGCGTATAAAAATTGTGACCTCTATAGGGTCCACAACCTTGATACATTTTTAAGTGATCAAGGGCCATAACTCTGGCAGTAATTATCGAAAATTGCTGAAAATCAATAGGCTTCTTCGTCTTGTGACCTTAAACACTGTGTATAAATTTAAAGTCAATCGGATATTAACTTTGGCCTCTAGAGCGTCCACAAGATCTTTTGAAGTGATCGAAGGGCCATAACTCTGGCAGTAATTATCGGAAATCGCTGAAAATAAATAGGCTTCTTCGTCTCATGGCCTTAAACACTGTATATAAATTTAAAGTCAATTGGATATTAACTTTAGCCCCTAGAGCATCCACAATTGCTTGTGGACGGACGGGGGCGACGACAATATACGACCACATTTCAATGTGGGCGTATAGAAAGTGGTTTTTCGTACAATCAGGGGCCATAATCCATGAAGTTACAGTCCGATATATGCCAATATCGAAAGGAACCAAGATCTTATGGAGATAAACCTATATTTCAAGTTTCGTTGAAATCGGATAAAAATTGTGACCTGTAGAGTGTCCACAAACAATTGTGGACTGGACGGACGTCCGGAAGAACAGGGGCGACGACAATATACGGTCACATGAAAACGTGGGTGTATAAAAATGGTGACCGCTTCTGTGATTGATCTCCGACAATACTACATCATAACACGAATGACACGATCATGCAATGGATCTACAGAAATAAATAACTAACTACCTTAAAAGGCAATGGATGCACATCTCTGGCTTGAAATCGGGATCGTAGCGGAGGATCCAGAGGGTTGCCTTGGTATCGAGGTATTGGTAAACCAAGGGCTATAACTCTAAAATTTTTATCAACTCTGACTAAATTGAGAGAATCGAGTTCTTCTCTTGTGTGTTCTTGTAGAAGTTTATCATAGCGATCGGCTGCAACTAAAAATCTCCCATCATCCAATTGCATCTCCCGATTCTCCAATAAATTATTTAGGACTGGTAAAACATTTCTTTCCGCTTTCTCTATTCCTTCCAACACCAGGACACGGCCTTGTAATGCAGCACGAACAGCACACTAAAATAACAAGAAACAGATTTGGATACACTGTGGTGTTCATCAATACAATGTGTGCACTAACAGGACAATTATTTTCCATCCAAAGCTAGTACATAAAAAGGAGAAGTGTCGCCTACCCAAAATCACAGGTTTTCTTTGGGTTCTCTAATTTCCTCCAACAGTTGAATGAAACCTCTTAAACACCAGTGAATTATCTAAATATCTACAATATGTACCAGACCCAATTTTACTTAAAAATACATCATGAAAGAGCTAAATCTGCCTATTGCTGGTCTTTCTTTAGGCCTTAAGAGCCATTCCACGAGAAAACCTTGCAGAAGGTTCGAAGGTGGGGGGTGTCGGCCGATTGAGTTCATATTTACAGGGTTTGGTCGACCCATTGAGCCTACTCCTCAGCCAAAATCGCCGATTTTAGAAATCAACCGTTTCTGAGATAAAGCCTGATTACGTTTTTCGGCTGATTTTCGTCATTTTTAGGTCAAATTTCGGCCATTTTTGTAGCATTGCTATAGCCGTTAATTGACCAATGGCGAACTAAGTTTTGGTTGGTGATTATAGTCCAGGTCTCACCCTACCATATTATAATGGTCACCCAATGCAACCTTTCTTTCCGTAGGTGTCATGGCACTACACAAAATACGTGTCTGCAGACACCTGAATTTTACTCTTTCTTCAAATTGCGATAACTCCACTGGAGCAAGGTTGGCGATAAAAATGAAAATCTGGACCTGTTTTAACAACATAAAAAAAAAATTCTTGTCAACTAACCTTCAACAGCATGAAAATTTGTTTCGAAAGTTACGAAATTTGTCACTTTTCAAGTCGAATTTCAGTTTAAGTGTTGGGATTTCGCCTGTATATTCCGGACATGTCCTACGCTATTTACCAAATGTCCAGCCAGGAATATGCCCAGACATCAAGATATGATGAATAATATTCAGAATTTCAAAATTAATATAGTAAACTGAGTGTATAACTACCACTCATCCCGATAATGGTTGATAATAGGCTGGATTGATTAGGTAATTAAGTGATCAGCGTATTTATCCTATTATACCATCTATACACCTACATTGCTTACCTGCTTAATCTGTCTTGCTTGACTGACTTATTACTTTGTCGGGAAAGTCATCAATCTAATTTTGAACAGAAGTCATTGCTTCATTTTTGTCGGACTTTTCATCAATCCAATACGGGTGAGTATCAACCTTATCTACGTGATTACCTCAGTGGTTTCTCCATTGCCAGAAAATTTAATCTCATTGATATCAACCGACAGCACGTAGAAACTAGTTCTTGATGTCACATATTATCCTAATAGTATAACACCCCAAATCAATGGACAGTCATTATAAATTTCAAAACCTCTGTCTATTGTTAGCTATTAAACCTTTAACTTATTTTTCGTAATGAAACTACCTTTTTTAAGACACCATATATAAATTCCCATCTACAGTGGCACTTTCCCGCAATATTGATTATCGTACGAAAATCACTTACTATGTAAGACAGTGCTTACTACGAAACTACTGTATGTGTTATATGTTAACGGTCACGTACACCACACAGCGAAGTTATGTATGCCTTTTACAAGCGATTTAACTATCAATGTAATTTTAAAATACCATTTTACGAAAATGATTTGACATCATCAGAAATAATTCTTATTTCGGACGCCTTTCTTCATTTGCTGGCGTATAAACGAAGACTCGTAATTTTTGGGGAATATTACTGGCGTGAATTTGATTAAAACAGGCACGGATCAGCAAATTTCATTCTATCGTATTACGAAAACACATAATTTTGTAGGAATATTACTGACATAAATTTGAATACCATACGGGAATTAAATATGAATAAGCGGTTGCCATGCAAGATACACCCACATTTTCCAAGAGATGGACAGAGAACAAGCTAAATAAAAAGCGATTTATCGTACAACCAGGGGCCATCATCCAGTATGTTACAGTCCGACATGCGACAATATCAAAAGGAACCAAGATCTTTGGGATATAACAGTATATAATATAAAAGTTTCATCAAGTCGAATAAAAATTGTGACATTAAGAGGGACTACAAGATTAAAACATGTTTTTTCGTATATTCAGGGATCATAATTCAGGAAGCTACGATGTGATATGCATGAATATCGAAAGAAACCAAGATCTTTGGGATATAAACATATATTTTAAGTTTCATCAAAATCGGATAAAAATTGTGTTTCTAGAGTGTCCACAATCTTGGAATTACATACTTTTACACTATTCGCGTACGAGGAGCGGCCATTTTGTCCGGCAGTTACGATCCGATTTTCACGAAATGTAAGTTTATAACACAAAGATCTTGGTTCCTTTCGATATTCGCGCATATCTGACCTTAACTTCCTGAATTATGGCCCCTGATTGTACAAAAATTCACGTTTTTAGCTTGTGGACCCATTGGAGATCATAATTTATATCTGATTTAAAAATCCGCATTATTATATTACCGTTACACCCTAAGGACGGCTAAGTTTTTAGCTTGTGGACCTTATAGAGGTCATAATTTATATCCGATTTAAAAAACCGCATTATTATATTACCGTTACACCCTGAGGACAGCTGAGTTCGAATTTTGTGAAAAACGGCCCAAAATTGACAGACAAAATGGCCGCTGTTCGTTCTCAATTATCGTAAAAATATGGTATATCAAGTTTGTGGACTCTATAGAGGTCACAATTTTTATCCGATTTTGTTGAAACTTGAAATGTAAGTTTATAATCCAAAGATCTCTGTTCCTTTCGATATTCGTGCATATCGGACCGTAACTTCCTGAATTATGGCCTCTGATTGTACGAAAAATCGCTTTCTTTTTAGCTTGTTCTCTATCCATCTCTCGAAAATGTGGGCGTATCCTGCCTGGCAGCCGCTGGTTCAATCACAAATGAATTAACTAGTCTTCCATCTGTACACGTGGTCTTAAAGGAGCTAAATCGCTAACATTTGGGACCTAGAAATTGACAAAAGTAGTCCGCAACACATATAATACTGTGGTATGAATGTATATAAACTGATTTACATTCAATGGTTTCCGTATTTACTCCAATTTCAAATCAGGTATGTTCGGCGAAATAAGCCAGCAGTCCCAAGCGAGTGCAAATTCCTAGCGTCTGGTTATTCCAGTCTAGATACGCGTTTGATTTGGTACAATGTGTCTAGCCTCGTCCCTCTAGTCTCTTGATACAACTGGGGCTGAAGGGCATTATGGTACACGATTCGTGTACCAATGGTAAAATGTTTATTTTGTCTTAAATATTGGATATGAAAAGCCCATCTTTTTCCGGTAAGATCACAACATGAATGTTGATTTAATTTGACAAATAAATCGTGTTTTCAATGTTGAAGATTTTGGATGATATTGAGTTAGAGACTTAGCTACTTTAAGTAAAGCGCACAATGGTAGTGCAATAATCTCGCGAGACTGTACATTAGACTGGCGCCCAAAAAAATCACTGTCAGACAATGTAATCACTTGATTTGGGGCTCCTGAGCAATTTAGTTGATTAATGGGTAATAGAGGTCACAATTTTAATCCGATTTTGTTGAAACTTGAAATGTAAGTTTATAACACAAAGATCTTGGTTCCTTTCGATATTCGCGCATATCGGACCGTAACTTCCTGAATTATGGCCCCTGATTTACGCAAATTCACGTTTTTAGCTTGTGGACCTTATAGAGGTCATAATTTTTATCCGATTTAAAAAATCGTATTATTATATCACCGTTGCACCCTAAAAGCATCCACAAGATATTTTGAAGTGATCAAGGGCCATAACTCTGGCATTAATTATCGGAAATTACTGAAAATCAATAGGATTCTTACTCTCATATACACTGTGTATAAATTTAAAGTCAATCGGATATTAACTTTGGCCTCTAGAGCGTCCACAAGATATTTTAAAGTGATCAAGGGCCATAACTCTGGCAGTAATTATCGGAAATCACTGAAAATCAATATCCTTCTTCGTCTCATGACCTTAAACTGTGTATAAATTTAAAGTCAATCCGATATTAGCCTCTAGAGCATCCACAAGATATTTTTAAGTGATCAAGGGCCATAACTCTAGCAGTAATGATCGGAAATCACTGAAAATCAATAGGCCGGATGGACGGGGCGACGACAATATTCGACCACATTTCAATGTGGGCGTATAAAAATGGTTTAGTTACTATGGCTTAGTTTAATGGTAACGGGTTTAGTTTCTCTGAGAGGCGTTTATAAATGGCCGACCTGTTCACTTATCTACAGCGTTTACTTATTAGACAAGCCGTTTACTTTCCCCGAAATACGTTGAAAAATCAACACACGGTTTACTTATCTACGGCGTTGAACTATTAGATGAACCTTTTAATTTCCCGCAAGCCGTTTATCTGATCGGTTCATTTTGATTACGATTATTTACATATAAAGTGCGAATAAAAAAGGTGAATATAAAAAAAATGCACACCCATAGATGATCACCTTACTGTGATCGTAGTATTATTTATTATCCATTATCCTATAATATTAGTATTCCACCAATAACAAATACATCGAAAATCGGTAAATCAACTTCAGGAAGTTACAATCCGATATGCGCGAATATTGAAAGGAACCGAGATGTTTGGGTTATAAACTTACATTTCAAGTTTTAACAAAATCGGATAAAAATTGTGACCTCTATAGGGTTCACAAGCTAAAAACGTGATTTTTCGTACAAACAGGGGCCATAATCCATGAAGTTTTGATCCGATACATGCCAATATAAAAAGCAGCCAAGATGTTTTGGAGATAAACCTATATTTCAAGTTTCGTCAAAATCGGATAAGAATTGTGATCTGTAGAGTGTCCACAAACAAATTGTGGACGGACGGACGGACGGATGGACAGGGGCAGCGACATAAAATGTGGGCGTATAAAAAGATACATTACCTGGGATGTGATTTACAGATTTCCAATTGTATAATTACCTGGGACGTGATTTGACGATTTTTGATGTATTTGTCAATGGTAGAATACTAATTTTATAGGATAATGGATAATAAATAATACTACGACCACGGTAAGATGATCATCTATGGGTGTGCATTTTTTTATATTCACCTTTTTTATTCGTACTTCATATGTAAATAATCGTAATCAAAATGAACCGATAGGATAAACGGGAAATTAAAGGGTTCATCTAATAGTTCAACGCCGTAGATAAATTAAGCGTGTGTTGATTTTTCAACGTATCTCGGGAAAGTAAACGGCTCGTCAAATAAGTGAACGCCGTAGATAAGTGAATGGGTCGTCCATTTATAAACGCCTCTCGGAGAAACTAAACCTGTTACCATTAAACTAAGCCATAGTACTAACTAAACCATGTTTGTAATTCTTAAACGATTTTTATCAATTATCGAATGATGTTTGGAAAGTAAACTTGATATTACATGTACATAATTTAACATTATTTGCGTACAGGAGGCAGCCATTTTGTCAAGCAGTTTAAGTCAGATATTTTACGAAATTCGAACTGAACCATCATTAGGGTGCAGGGATGACATATTCGAATGCTTTTTTAAATCTGATAAAAATTGTGACCTTTAGAGTGACCACAATTTAAAATTGCAATTTTTCGTACAATAGATCAGGGACCATAATCCAGGAAGCTACGGTCCGATATGCACTAATATTGAAAGGATTCGAGATCTGTGGGTTATAAACATACATTTCAGGTTTCATCGAAATAGGATAAAAATTGTGACCTCAAGAGTGTCCACAAGCTAAAAATGTGATTTTTCGTACAATCAGGGGCCATTATCATGAAGTTATGGTCCGATTCATGCCAATATCGAAAGGGACCAAGATCTTTTGGAGATAAACCCATATTTCAAGTTTCGTCAAAAGTGGATAAAAATTGTGACCTGGAGAGTGTCCACAAACAAATTGGACATACATCCAGACGGACAAGGGCGATGACAATATACGTCCACATTAAAATGTGGGTGCTTAAAAAAGATATAACTTTAACTAGACCTGCATGGCAGTGCTGAATCGGCTTTCAGGCAACAGACCCGAAGGAAGCATACGAAAGTCCATTCACTGGGCTATCGAATGATACTTTAGCTCTTTTGATCTGGTAATATCCATTGAAGAAATCGCGTTTTTGGCAAAAATCTTCATTTTTTGCATTTTTTCGACTACTTCCAGTTTTCGGATCATTGTCGGGATAGCTTTAACAAGTTGAATAGATACTTAACTTTCTGTGCCAGAAGTGTCAGAAACATCCATTGAGTAGTTATACTATTTCAATGCTTTTTTTTTTGGATTCACACCCTAGACCACCGGTAGGACTCTGGTTAAGAAAAGTTTAAGAAAAATCGTTGGCGTCGTTTTCGAGAAAAAGGCGTCTCAGAATGCACCAAAACGGAAAATACTAGATTTTCCGCATACCATAATTTATTTCCTAACCATCGAATTTGTATCATTTAGATGTCATAAGATAGTCTATTCATGGGACTATCCGACGAAACTTTAATTGTTTTGGTCCGCTAATATCTGACGGAGAATTCGAGTTTTTAAAAAGAGTGCCATTTTTTTTATTTTTTTACCTTTTTTTTTCGTTTTTTAAACTACTTCCGTTGTACGAATCATTGTCGGGTAGTTTTAACATCCGGTTTTGGAACTTGAATGGGCACAGGGCTTTATAATGATATACTAAATTAACCGATCAGATAAAATCCTCCTGAGAAATCCTATGTTCAGAAGTACCAAAAATGCAAAAATGTCAAAATCTCGAAAATTAAATTTCAATAACTGACTACATATTATACATGGTTAGAATCGCTATTAGGTCAGTTTTTTCAATTTATAACATTTTTTTGAAAAACTGTTAAAATAAACAAATAATAGAGCATTTTCCGAAATTTGACGATTTTTCAATTTTCAGTCCGTTTTTTATCGTATTCCAGACGTTTAAAATTCTTATTGGATGGTTTCATGAACAAGACTACCGAAAGGACTCTCGATAGAGAAAGTTTAAGAAAAATCGTTGGAGCAGTTTTCGAGATAAAGGCGTCCAAAAACGCTCCAAACCGGAAAATACTTGATTTTCAGCATGTCATAGTTTGCTGCCTGGTCATAGTATCTGTATAAATTGGGCATCATACGACAGTCCATTCCCCGGGCCACCCAACGATACATTAATTTGTTTAATCTGTTTAAACTGGACAGAGAAATCCTGTTTTTCCCAAAAGCACCCATTTTTTCTGTTTTTTTCAAAATATCGAGCATTATTTCGACTACTTCCGGTTTAGGGATCGTTGTTGAAATTGCTTTATCCATCAGTCTGACAATATGGCTTTACGGTCCTGGAGTTTCAGAAAGGTCGATTGATGCTTTCAAAAAAATATAAGGGTTGGAAAATGGGTAGAAAATTCGAAAAAATTCGAATAATAAAGGGCGATAACTCTGAACGGAAGTTATATTACTGGAATCGGATGGACATCAGGTATCCAAAAATGTAGGTCAAATTTGAAAATTTTGAAAAATAACAAAAATTGTCTCGAAAACAACGGGTTTTCAATTTTCGAACGATAAAAGTCATAGACGAATGTTCGAAATTGAAAAATGTGAGATAGTCATTATCTCGGAAAAGATTCGGGGTTTCCGAAGATGTCATTTGTTTGAAAATAGGTAAAGAATTGACGAAACCACGGCCGATTTTCAATTCCGGGAAAAAGTACAAAGTTCGGTCACTTCCGGTATGCACAGAAGTTTCAAAAATAGTTTATCCAGTAGCCACCACATGGTTTCCTGATAGAAAACTTGGTTCCAGATCAATATCTGTTTGCGATCATGGAGAAATAGGCTCCCGCGGAAGAAAAAAATAATAATAATAATAATAATTTTAGTAAAAACAATAGTCTTTCAGACAAAGCCTAATTAGATTGTTTGACAATTAACTTATACACTGGACTTTATAACAGATAAAAACAAACTAACTGATGTAGTGAAAATATGTTTACTTGATCTATATAGAAAGCACTTCCTCCAGTTATCTCCCTTCTTTGTTTCAGATCCGATTCAGTTGTATCCCTAGACAATGAGACATATTCAGCTTCTCGACCTGTCAATTCCTGTAAGATAAAACATTAATATGGTATGGTATTAATTGTCTTATCAGCATATCTCTAGCCTAAATAACAAGCGGTTGAAATGCAAGATATACCCACATGTTGGAATATAAACAAGTTTCAAGTTTCATCTAAATTGGATAAAAATTGTGATCTCTAGAGTGTCTACAAGCTAAAAATGCAATATTTCGTACAATCGGGGCCATAATCCATTAAGTTACGATCCAATACATGCCAATATTGAAAGGAACCAAGATCTTATGGAGATTCATGTTTCGTCCAAAATCGGATCAAAATTGTGTCCTCTCTCTAGAGGGTCCAAAATCTTGATATACCATATATTTACAATATTTGCGTACGAGGGGCAGCCATTTTGTCCGGCAGTTTTGGTCCGATTTGTTCGAATTTCAGACTCAACCATCAAAAGGGTGTAACAGTGATATATTCAAACGTTTTTTAAAAATCGGATAAAAATTGTGACTATTAGAGGGATCACATCCTAAAAATGCGATTTTTCGTACAATCAAGGGCCATAATTCAGGAATTTACAATCCAATATGCGCAAATATCGAAAGGAACCAAGATCTTTGGGTTATAAATATGTATTTAAAGTTTCATCAAAATCAGATCAAAATTGTGGCCTCTAGAGGATCCACAACCTTGATATACCATATATTTACGTGCAAGAGGCGGCCATTTTGTCCGGTAGTTTTGGTCCGATTTCCACGAAATTCAAACTCCGCCATCATAATGGTGTAACAGTGATATATTCTCAGGTTTTTTTAAATCGGTTAATAATTGTGACCTCTAGAGGGACCACAAGCTAAAAACACGATTTTTCGTACAATCAGGGTCCATAATTCAGGAAGTTACGATCCGATATGCGCGAATATCGAAAGCAACGAAGATCTTTGGGTTATAAACATGCATTTCAAGTTTCATCAAAATCGGCACAAAATTGTGACCTCCAGAGGGTCCACAACCTTAATATACCAGCTGATGTTTACACTATTTGAGTACAAGGGGCGGCCATTTTGTCTGGCAGTTTTGGTCCGATTTTCACGACGGTGTATCGGTGATATATTCAAACAGTGTTTTAAATTGGATAATAATTGTGACCTCTAGAGTGACCCCAAGCTAAAAACGCCATTTTTCGTACTATCAGGGGCCATAATTCAGGCAGTTACCCCGTTAACATTGATGGTTAGATTTACGTAAAGTTTACGGGATTATGGTTAGATTTTGGTTAGAGTCCAATAATGGTAAAATACTTTGGTTAAATTTATGTTACTTTTACGTCATAATGGTTGTGGTTACTTTTACGTCAGATAATCACGTAAATGTAACGTAAACTTTATGACGGATTACTAACCATTTTTTTTCGCTTTGAATACTTCTTGATAAAATAACATTTCAAGTGTATGCACATTCTAACAATTGATATATAGTCGGAATTCAGACATAATAATTATATATGTATTATTGGTTATAATTCTAACGTAAATTTTACATCAGGTTTCTAACTGTTAGTTTATGGTTAGTTTTCTGACGTAAATCTAACATTAGTTTTCTAACGTAAATGTAATGTTAGTTTTGTCATAATTTTAACTGTTAATTTAACATTAGTTTTCTAACGTAAATCTAATGTTAATTTTATAACATAAATTGAAAATTAGTTTTCTCACATAAATATAACGTTAGTTTTCTAACATAAACCTGATATTAGTTGTATAACGTAAAACAAATGTCAGTTTAATGTCATGATACTAACAATTAAATTACTGTTATTTTTTAAGCTTCCATATGTATTACATATGAAAGCTTATTGTTTCTGTTAAGATTATTATCATTATTATTATTTTTTTGTGTTTTTTCTGCAAATCGGCCAAATTAAAAACTTGGGACTAGATTTTTAATATTTGGTTTAAGGCAACTATTTTAGTGTTATGTTGTGCACAGACGACCTTGACATCAACAGAAAGCAAGAATACGTCTCGCTGAAAGTCCTTGACATTGATAACGTTCGTGATGTCACAGTACCACCCAAAATAAAATTCACAGACTTGGAGAACAATCGGAATAAAGTGTTTAGTAACGGTTGTGGCCTCCTCTAGCGTCTCTTACTGCCACACAACGTCTTCTCATGGATCTCAGAACATTAGTAAACACTACCCGAGGAAGATGTCGCCACTGCTCAGCAAGAGCATGTTGAAGGTCCCGCAACGTCAGTGGTGGATTCACTTGCTAACGAACACGTCGACGCAGTTCGTCCCAGATGTGTTCAATAGGATTAAGGTCGGGGCTAAGCGACGCCAATCCAGGACTTGGACACCGGCATTTCTTAAAAAATTCTGGGCAGCAATTGCTGTATGGGGTCGAGCATTGTCTTGTTGAAACGTTAGTCCAGGCCCATGTCTCTGCATAAAGGGAAGAAGAACAGGTTGCAAAATCTGATCCCTGTACTGGACAGCATTTAAGTTCCCTTGGACACCAATAAGAGGAGAACGTCCATGTTCACAAAAAGAACCCCAAACCATGACGCTGCTGCCGCCACCAAATCGGTCAACTTCTCTGACGCATACTTGAGCGTAACGTTCACCTCGTCTGCGGTACACTCGGGCACTGCCATCGGCAAATCTCAAAGTGAATTGAGATTCGTCACTAAAGACAACCGAATTCCACTGTCTTTGAGTAAATCTTATGTGTCTTGTGGCCCACACAAGTCGGTTACGGCGATGAAGAGGTGTCAATATTGGTCCATTATAGGGCCTCCGAGCTCGAAGACCAGCAGCCTGCAAGCGATTTCGAACAGTTTGTGCAGTTACCCTTCCACCAAACATCTCTCTACTTGTGGAGGTTGCAGTGACAAATCTGTTTCTTAGATGACGTAATCATATTGCTTGATTTTCCTGGAGTGACGTCACAATTTTATGAAATTAAAGGCTTCTTACTACTTACTATCATTAGATACACTTTAAAATTTATTTGACTTACTAGAAAAAAAAATTTGTTGAAATTCATCAGTGTCAAGTTTTTAATTTGGCTGAGTATATCTCAGAATCTAACCGTAGGATGTTTCTGAAACTTTGACCTACCCCCCCAAGAATGGGTGGTGGCTTTGTAATGAATATATTTTCAAAACGTTTTACTCATCCGAAATCACCGAATTTTACGAACGAATGCATTTTACCTACATTGCTGTAACTTTGTGATTATTTGACGGTTGACCTATTTTACTATTTTTTTTTTCTTTGAGTACATTGAAACATTTACTTCAAATCTGCAATTTCGGATTTTTGAATTTCGAAAATTCGTCGCTGTGATTTCGAACCGGAAGTTGAAACCAACTTGACAACTTCTTTAATAGTTGCACGATTTTCATGAAATTTAGTATGTAAGTAGATCTTACCCATGCAACTTGAAAGATGTAGCTCAGATTGCCTTGAATTTTTTTTTCTGTACTAGCTAAGACAGTACTGATGTGTACACAAAATATGGAGTTTGTCGAGCAAACTGGAAGTGCCACCATCTCAAAACGTGAAAAATCCATAAGGCTTTTGCAATATTTTACTTACAGACATAAGAGTTACATTTTCTGAATCCTTGAAGGAATGCCTAAAAATCTATCGGATCAGAATTTTGATTTCGGTCAAGTGATAGTCACCATTTTGAACTGAATATGAGAAAAGTGAAAAATCCATGTTAACGCACGTTAAAATGAACACAATAGACCGTAGTTTGAAGAATACGTCTCTTTTTACCGAAAAGAATACATTTCTGGATAGCCGGGATCAGGGTTGAATTTATGTTATTTGAAAATGTCACAATTTCGAATTTTGCCTTTAAAGTTTTTTGTGCCGACAAAGTTGTTTTCGTGTGAATAATCTCATTAACTTCGCGAGTTTTTGACTGATTTTAATGATTTTTTTTTATATCTTGAGATTCTTTATATGACCCATGACATGTGGCAAGGAGTGATTGTGAATATAAAAGCTTTCATATCTGCTTAGCAGATCTAGTTATCCTTAAGTTTTCTTACGTAAACAAATGTCAGTTTAATATCATGAGCACCATTTGTAATGAAGCGACTCGATGAACAAGGCTAACCATATCCCACAGGAGAATACTGGTGTTGATTCAATGACATACCTTATGATACAACGCGCACGCGCTAACCATTTGGCTATCCAATCCCCAGCCAGTGCGCTACCAGGGTGTTTTGTCCGGACAGCAGTGCTAAGGCCTACTCTTATATTGAATTCCAACTGCCAGGGGATCTTTTACCTGCATGAACGACTAGACAGTTGTCCTTGTCAGGCCCTCCGTTCTGCACCACTGTCAAGCGAAAACAACGTTGGAAAATCCTGATGAACAAAAAAATTTGCAGTTCACAAACACATTCTCCTTACTATTCAAGTCTGTGACTACAGGAACTTGAAAGTGGTCCAATAAATAGGCTTAATTATGTGGTTTTACAACTGAAATCAAACCCGAGAGGGCAAACAAATAATGATAATGCATTAAAAAATGTGGCACCATCCAAAGGGAGAGAGAGAATGAATTGGGGTTTAACGTCCACTCGACACAAACTAGGTCATTTCAGGATTAACATATGGTTTAATTTTTTTTCAATAATTCGCTTGCCCGTAGGGGTCTTTAGCAGTGGGAGGACGGAGAAAATCCACAAGGTTGAACAGGCGACCACGGCAGTTGACTCAATGACATACCTTATGATACAACGTGCATGCACTAACCATTTGGCCATCCAACCCCCCACCAGGGAGTTTTGTCTGCCAGGGGATCTTTTACCTGCATGCCAATGTGTACATGGGACCTCAGTTTTTCGTACCATCCTCACGACTAGACAGCTGTCCTTGTCAGGACCTCCGTTCTGCACCACTGACAAGAGGAAACCACATTGGAAAATCCCGATGAACGAATTCGGCCAATGCAGGGATCAAACACGCGACCTCAAGGTTAGTGAGCCAATGTCTTACTCTTAC